TGATCTTCGCCGGCAAGCAGCTTGAGGACGGCCGCACACTCAGCGACTACAACATCCAGAAGGAGTCCACACTTCACTTGGTCCTCCGGTGCGCTCCTTAGTTTGAGTTTTTGAGAGAAAGGAGGCTGATATATGTGCTTAGTCTCCGTGGTGGACTCATCGAGCCCTCGCTGAAGGTCCTCGCCTCCAAATACAACTGCGATAAGCAAATCTGCCGAAAATGCTATGCCCGCCTGCCCCCGCGCGCAACCAACTGCAGGAAGAGGTCATGTGGCCACTCCTCGCAGCTCCGCCCGTGAGTACCCCTCTCTAGCTTGTAGAAAACTGCTAAAGATGTGAATGCTATTCCTTTGCTTTGCGGCGTACAGCAAGAAGAAGCTGAAGTAGTCCGTACGCGCAGCGGGCACTGCTTTGGGCGTATCTTGGCGAGGGCGGAGATGGAGTACGTCAGGGAACCACTTACTCTACCACGCAGCATCCATGTATCCCTTCGACATCCTTCATTATGCATCACATGTAAAGCATATGTCCGCCTCGCTTCTTCTTGAGTTCAGAATCTCGTTTTGTGCTAGGCCTACCAGGTTGACTCCGCAAGTCTCTTGGATTGCGCTCTCTCACCCTTAATCCTCAGTTTCTTGTCTTCGTCACGCTGAGGGTGCTGTAGTCCACGCGCGTGGGCGCGACTTTGTTCCCTAATCGTTATACTTTCTGGACAGCCTAGGTGCTTCACAAAAGCTAGCCATCCATCTAGCCTTCAAAAATATTCTGTATGAAAAGCCGTTGAATGCAGTCTTTTCGCATCAAATACCCCGTTCCTTAGTTGAGCACAACATCTCACATAACCTCAGGATGCCGTCTTGTATCCAACCCCCTACTGGAAGGTTAGTCATCGTCGCAACTCACCTTGTACAAAATCCAGAGCTAACTAGCTTTCTATCTCAAAGCAGCCTCGTAGATCATAATGCTGAGACGACCAACATGTTTGTGCTCATCACTCGCCCGACTTGAAAAGATAAAAATGAGTAAGCCTCCCATTTTTTTTCGAAACATCTACCCCCACCGTCAAGGAGCTGGTCGAGAGCCCTGAGACCCATCCCAACACCAGCCTGAATGCGAACTTAAGGATGCCAGGCACCGCCCTGGAGTAGTTATTGCTAACCCCAGTCTCTCTTGAGGCTGTTCTCTCCATGTTTTAAGTTTGACAATTAGTATGCACATTGCACCCGACACCATACAATAATTTTTTTTGAGGGTAACCCGGCAAATCCAGGTTTTTGGATACGTAGCGGGCGTTGCCGCGACTCGGCGTATGTCACTAGCAATTCCGATTTTCCCAACTTCACCAGCGCATCTTAGCGTCACAGTCCACTCACTCGCACGAAGTTTGGTTCCAGGTTTCTTTCCAAGTGCGGGCTAATCTATAACTTGATGCGCTAGCAGAGACAGATGGTCAGTAGCTCGCTACGTGCCGTCAGCGTTACGGAAGTTAGACCGCTGATGATTCTATTAATAGAGCATACAGTGCACACAGGCGCTAACTCCAGATTTGGATATCCGCAAATTTAGGACATGGAATACTTTTGTGCAATTGTGTCCGTCAATTGCAATCATCCACTGGCAGCTTACATCCATACGATGCGCACGACTTGGAAGGATCGCGAATCGCCTTGAGTTCATAGACTGTATTCCTTATTTCCTAGCTCCGATATCTGGCAGTTTCTTTGGCGCTTATCGATCCGAATCACCTGGGCGCGTTGACGAACTTATGGGTCAGCTGTTTCGTGGCGGCTGGCTAGATCAATGCCAAGACAAAACTTGTTTTGTGGCGTGGATGATGTCTACTTCTCAATGAAAGAGCCCTGCAAAATTATTTTAATCGTCGGTGAATCGTACCTCCGCCTTTTGCGGCACCACAACCCCAGATTCCTATATATTGCGGCGAGTTTTGTTGGGATTCTCCGCTTCGGCTTCCTCCTTCAATCCTTCATATACATTTCTGCTCTTCTTCATGTTATCTCAAAAGGTACCGGCGACGCTTGGTGCTCTTCTGCTGGGAGCCCTTTTCGCCACGCTGTACGTGAGATCGTTTTAAAAGAGTCAAGGTTTTAACTTTGAAATGTTCAGGTTATCTGGGATCGTCGACTCTCAGGCCTTTATTTACTTCAAGTCATACCGCAGAGAAGATTCTTGGCAGAAAAGGGCATTCGTAATTATCGCCCGTTACTATCTCTTATCTATGTAGCTGCTGATCGGTCGTTCTATAGGCTGGCTATATCTGGTAGCGTTGGTTTCCTATCTCACTGGACACAGAACGTGAAATTCGCGCTACCTCAGGTTTCTCAACACCCTTCATACAGCATCCATTTGGTCAACGACCTGGTTTTATGTTATCAGAAATTACGGTCACCACGATACCATAGACATCACACCATGGTGAGTGCCTTTAAGCCAATCCTCCCGATCACGTGCTTATTATATTCAAAGGGAAATTGGAGTAAGACCGCCTCCCTCCTCATTTTCTTTAACACATCTGAATAATATTTCCCAGTTGACAGTTGCAATTAGCGTATGTTCCTATTCATTGATTCTAGTTTGAAGTACTAATTTTAGAGCCCCTCAGTCCGTGATCACTGTTTCCGTACACATGTAAGCTACTATTCCCATATGCGACCTCATTAGTCTCACTCATAATCGCACAAGGTTCTACGCCTATCGAATCTTCTTGTGTGCGTCACCTGTATGTGTTTTTCAGCCTTTTTAACAACCCTTCGTTGCAGTGAGCCAGAGGAAGTGGCTTCTGATACTTCCGATCGTGAGTTTGAACATAAATTATGCACTGAGGCTCACATCTCCGCTGTCAGATTTTTCTTTGCTTTGCTCGATTAGGTATGTAACTTTTTTTCAGCCTATGAGGGATCTTGGTCAAAATGGAAATGCATAGGCTTCAGTGCAGGTAATTCATACGTTTTGATACGATAGCGTAGTCTCCTGAATGAAATCTCCTTAGGCGTTGCAGGCGCTATGTGAGCCGGAACGCTTTCAATCGGAGCTTTCACTGACACGATGACCGTTAGTATTCATTTCCCGACTTATACCGCCTTTAATGCCAACGCAAGCGTACGTGATCCCCAATTTCTTGTTCGATTCCGCTGCTTAATCTCAACTCTGAAGTGGTTGCTAACATTGATCCTTTGTCTTCTAACTTCGACGGATGTCTTCATCACTACCTGCCTCATCTACTTCCTTTTCAAGAGCCGTACGCAAGCACCAAGGTTCTTCTTTTATTTCAACTGCGATCATGGTTATTCAACTTGGACCCCTTTAAAAGCTCGATTAACGACGTTTTGAACATTCTGATGCGAGATATATTCAGAAACGGATTCATGAACTGGTATGTCCATGCATCGAGCTAGAGCCGATTTGCTTACTTTTCCACAGTGTTGGGGCTGTCAGCTCGTTGATCTGCGTATATAAATTTTCTTTCAACCCCTTGCCGAAACTGACGCACTTTCACAGTGGTTGGAGGTGCCTGATACACTAGTCTTCCTATCCCTGTTCTACATCATCGGTAAACGTGCGTCTCTCCTCAACACTGCCTCCTCACTCTCGCTTTTATCATTTTCGCCGCACAGTATCTTCAAATTCCTTTTTCGCACTGTATGCAGTAATCTCCCTGGTTTCTTCGTCTAAAACTAACTATCACGCTCCACGTCCAGCCTCAACGTACGCGAAAACCTTCGTCGAAAAAGGGCTGAATGCGAGGTAGAACACATAAACAAACCAGTGGAAATAGCACTGGCTCGGATGAAGCGTCCGACCAGTACGATGTTCCCAACCAGCGTTGGTAATATGACTAGCCCACATACCCTGGAGGATGTGGAATCCGGAGTAGGTCATTCTACGCCAGCCTCGTCCCTCTTGCTTACAAATTCTACGTGCACCCAGTCGTTCACCAATCCAAGTTCGCCGACGACGACGGATTCGCAGGAGTGCCACAGAGATGAACAGGCGTGTTTCCTTACTTATTCTTTGATACTAAAAATTTTTAACGTGTCTTTAGATTGAGATCTATGTTGAGACGACAAGTGTGCGCTCAGCGTTACCCTAGTAGGGGTACTAATAGTAATAGCGAAACGTTGCTTAAGTTTGCATACATTACACTAATAATTTACTAGTCGTATAAAATAAAGATTATTGCGCCTTTGGAGGGAACGGTTATTGGTCTAGAACTCACTATTCTCAGTTTCACATTGTCTTCATATTTCTGTAAAATACATAATGAGCAAATCGTGAAGCTTGCAAGTGCCAAGAAGACGCGAGGCAATCTATATTGTTTGATGTGTCTGACTTTCCCACGTTCTGAAAACTATCTGTTCAACCACATCCTTATACTCAGCCGCAACAGCACGTCTTTCGTATGAGCAAACCACCCAACATCTCTGAAAAATGCATGAGCTTTACCCCAAATTCACCCTCAAATCCTACTAACATTTGCATCACGAAAAATGCAAAAATCCCATCATACGTTATTACAGTTGGCGACGTTTAACTACCTTATCAATGATTGCGAAGGCCTTATGACCCCTTACATACCTGAGAAATGATCATGTCAATTTGTATTCGGTTTTGCTCTGGCATAATTCTGGTCGAGGATTGGGGTTTCAACATAATACTGGGTCATAATCATATTCAGTTATCTTTTGGGATAATGATTATTAGTACTTGTCAACCCGTCTCATACCACTCCAAGTGTGCACCATGTTGAGGGTTTCAAGGCACGATTGTTATTTTCTCACTGAGGTCCTTCGAACTCCACATTCGGTTGTGAATGACCTCGATCCGTTACCATTCAAGTCTCACACCGCCATTTCTTCCATTGACCACCACCACCCATCAGCCCTCCGCCCTCAAGATCGCGACAACCGCGATGAGCAGCGCCCGGCGCTGGTGAAGATGGCGTTGAGACAGACATTGAATGATTCCTGGCATCTTCCTCGGAGGCATTGATGATGTAACGGTAACATCGGGTCTTCCCATGACATCTTCATTCGATGCTGTTGGATGGCCCGTCCCCGGGTTCGACTCCCGGTCAATGCAGAGGAGGAAATTATGTCGTTTTAGTGGAATAGTCTGATTTTTCTACCTCGCAAGCTTAGATATCGCTGATCAGATACTTAGAATATTAATATAAAAACTTTCTGGGCAAACTTTGAAACAGCCGGATGCTGTCCAAGACGCTCACTCTGTCTGTGAGTCGTAGTTCGATCTGTCTCATTCAGATCCCAGGGAAGCAATTGATGGGCATTTGTCAGCAGCATCAAGCGAGAT